ACTTTTAAATTGTCTCATTTAAAACAAAAAAAGTCCTGAAGATAAAATTCTTGAAATCACTTATAAGCGTTACCGAAATTATTGTAACTCTTTGTTGAGAAACCTTAAACGAAACTACGAAAAGTCACTATTACGTAATGCGAAAACTAATAAAGATACCTGGAATGCAATTAAAACTATAATAAATTACACGAAACAAAAGACGAGTGCTGATAACCTTTTGAGTTCTAATGAAAATGCTGTTCGTGATGTAGAAAACATAAATAAATACTTCTCTAATATTGGTAAAAAACTAGCTGACGCTGCAAATATTTCAAATCAAAATAGCTCTCCATATAATTTCACAATTCCATCGGTTCCTAACTCTTTTGTGCTACTTCCACCAGATGAGGGAGAGGTAGAATCGATTATCAGAAGCTTAAAAAATAACTCTGTTACTGGATGGGACTCTATACCTGTGCAACTTCTCAAATTATCAGTACATCTAGTAGTTCCACCTTTGACTAAACTTTTTGAGCTCTGTTATGCGCAAGGAATCTTTCCAAAAGTTTTAAAAAATTGCTGATCACTCCTGTTCATAAGGATGGATCCCGAAACGAAATTTCCAATTACAGGCCTATTTCAGTACTCTCGTCTATCTCTAAAATCTTGGAAAAATCATTAAATCATAGACTTATTAAATTTTTAGAATATAATAAAGTAATATCTTCTTCACAATTTGGATTTAGGTCGGGGAAGTCCACTGAAGACGCGGTAATTCAATTGACAGAATTTGTAACATCAAAGGTTGACGCAAAGCAAAAATGTTTGGGGATTTTCCTCGACCTAGCCAAGGCGTTTGACACGGTCTCGATTCCTATCCTTGTGAGCAAGTTAGAACGCGTTGGTATTCGTGGCAATGCACTCATGATTTTTAAGGACTTCCTATGTGACCGTAAACAACAGGTTAAAGTGGGTGAATATGTCAACCCCGAGGAACCGATTGTATGTGGCGTTCCACAGGGAAGTATACTAGGACCTAGTCTCTTCCTTATTTATATAAATGATTTATGTCAGCAACATTTAGTAAACGGCAAAATATTTACCTATGCTGATGATACAGCTTTAGTCTTCCATGGTAAGACTTGGGATGAGGCTCGACATAACGCTCAGCTAGGGTTTCACAGAGTTTGCCATTGGCTCGGCGGTAATCTCCTAACTTTAAATATTTCGAAAACTACATACATGCAGTTCTCCTTGGGAGACACTGGATCCGTAAACCTTGATCTTAAGGTCCACTCGTGTACTAACCCTTTCAATACTATCCCCTCATGTTCATGTCTTGCAATTAATAAATCCAATAGTGTCAAATATCTTGGTGTAATACTGGACGACAAACTTAACTGGCGCTCACACATAGAGCTTACAACTGAATGTGAAGATTTGAGGAGTAGAAAACTTATTTGGGTGTTTAAAAAGTTAAGATACACTGCTGATTTACCTCTCTTGCGTTCAATTTACTAAGCTTTAGTTCAGTCTGTAGTAGGGTACTGTATAAACGTCTGGGGAGGAGCCTGTAAGACCTTTCTAATCCGCCTGGAAAGGGCACAAAGATCCCTCTTAAAAGTCATGGCATTTAGGCCATACAGATTTCCCACTAAAGAATTGTATGAGATATGTCGAGTATTAACTGTGAGGCAACTGTACATTTTGAAGTTAATTACTAAACAGCATATGGTTACCATTTATAATGCCACTGATTATAACAAAAGCCGGGTTATAAAAAATGTATGTTTACCAATAACATGTCGAACAGCCTCTGCTAGACGGCAACATGCATATAAAGCTATATATTTATACAACAAAATTAAAAAGTTAACAAATATATATACCTTAACTAGTAGAAAAGTGAAAATTAAAATGAAGAATTGGCTATTAGGATTAGATTATGAACAAACTGAATCGATATTAGTATAAAAATTGTTTAAATCTCAAATTTCATCCACACACACGAACACACGCAAACGCACGCACACTCGCGCGCACTCACACACACATACACACACGCACGTACACATGCACACACCCACACACACGCACATGCACACACGCACACACAGATTTTAAAATTGCTTTATTTACATAAAATAAGTAGCTGTCATTATATTAGGGAGATCGCTGACTCTCGTAACACAGGTTTTCTAACCTAACTCGTGAGTCAGAGGCTTAAATAATATTGTAACAAAATTTATGTCAATAAATAATATTATTATTATTGTGGTATATCAACATAGTTTTCTAATCTGGTTGGGTTCTATAAATATATAATTATAAAGGAAAATGAAAAGATAAATATACATAAATATCAATAACATAAACTAAATATAAAAATAAATAAATAAATAAAAGCCCAACCAGATGGAGGCCCTCGGCAGGGGAGACCAAACGGCCGAGGGTTAGGGGGAAAGGGAAAGAAACCGGCGGACGATGCGGGCGGTATCGAGGAACACCGCCTTCTGCATTTGAGCCTGGAGCGGGCCGCCACGTAATCCCAGCCGCCTCAGATGACCCGAGAGGCTGACTGGGATTAGCCCGTTCGCAGAGACGACTACAGGAATAATTTCGGTCAGCAGACCACCCCACATGTCGGTCACCTCGTGAGCCAGGTCCAGATATTTTGTTTGCTTATCTGTTTCGGCTTTCACGAGGTTCTCGTCATACGGAATGGTAATGTCGACCAAAAATATCCTTGACTGTGCCCGGTCCATCAGCACAACATCAGGCTTATTCGCAAGAATAGTCCTGTCTGTGATGATGGCTCGGTCCAAATAGAGCCTGGCGCGATCATTTTCGAGCACGGCTTCCGGCAAGTACTTGTAACACGGCAATTTCCGATCCACGAGACCGTATTTCAGAGCGAGCTCCTGGTGAAGAATTCTGGCTACCTTATGCAAAGGACAAGGCGGCGATAGTTGTTGGTCTTAATAACCTGATCCTGTATTGCACAGACAAAACTCTCGGTTTACCTGAAGAGATCGCCGAAGCGTAGCCAGTTGAAGGAGGCTACTGTGTCTACGAAAGGCTCATGTAGAGCCTTGTAGAACCTCCCGTGGAGCTCCTTCTCCTTCCATACGGTCTCCCGGTCGGAAATGCTCTGCACTGTTGGGTCTTGCCATTGCTCGTTGGCTAAGGATAGAGGTGTAAGTCCTTTATCACAAGAAGAAATGACGTCCTTATAGAATGGATCATCCGATCTCGCCAGGAAGTAATCACGGAGGCTGCACACTTCGCGATTATGCATGGTGAGCGCGCTTAAGAAGCCACGACCACCATGCTTCCGCAGCAAGTACAGCCTCATTACCGACGATCTCGGATGATGCATCCTATGGGACGTCATGGTAGTGCGGACTTTTCTATCCAGGGCGTTAAGTTCAGTCTGAGTCCACCTGAGTATGCCAAAGGTATACATGAGGACAGGCATGACCCAGCCGTTATATGCGTGTGCCTTATTCACACCGGACAAAAGGCTGTTAAGCACTTTGGTCAAGCGTGCATAAAACACGTCGCAAACTGACTGTTTCATACCAGCCTCATCGATACCGATGTTTTGTGACATACCCAGGTATCGGTATGTTTCAGCCTCGGAAAGGGTTCTTAAGTTGACGGGCATAGATAAGTCTATGCGCTCAGAGTTAGCAACCCTCCCTTACCCTTTCAACATGGAGGACCGCACACTTATCCGTCCCCAGCTCCATTCCAATGGAATTGCTAAATTCACAAGTGATGTTTAGCATTTCCATAAGATGGGAGCGACTGGAGGCGAATAACTTGAGGTCATCCATATAGAAAAGGTGGGTCACTTTTGTCCCTCCTTTTCGTAGCTGAAATCCCCTCCCGGAGCCCTCCAGTAAGGTACTGAGAGGATTCAGAGAGAGGCAGAACCAGATTGGACTCAGACAATCGCCCTTGAAGATACCCCTTCTTATCCTTATGTGGTTCTCCGCAGCCATCCTCCGCTCGCCCAGATGACAAAGGATCGTACTCCACTGCACCATACACTGCTCAGGGAAGTCTCTAACTGTACAGTCTATCTTGTACAGCTCGAGCACTCTCTTTAGCCATGTATGGGGCACCGAGTCGAATGCCTTTCTGTAGACTATCCAGGCGGCGGAGAATTTCCGATGGTTGCGTTTCACCACTTTGCCAATGACCGCGTCAATGAGGAGTGGTTCCTTGGTTCCACGACCACCGCCCCGACATCCATTTTGAGCGCGCGACATCACCTGATTTGAGTCCAGGTGACGAGTGATTCTCGCGCTCAAAATGAATGTTAGTGTCTTGTATATGGTCGGTAGACACGTAATGGGGCGGTATTTGCTCGGGTCTGTGGTACCCTGGACTTTAGGAACCAAATGAGTGATCCCAGTAGTGAAGAGGCTTTGGAGCGACTTCTGGTTGAGAGCCTCTTGAAACTGTCGGGCGAGCACAGCGTGTAACACCATGAACCCCTTCAGCCAGTAGTGATGCAGCCCGTCAAGCCCCGGACTTTTCCAGTTCGGGGCCCTACGGACCGCCTCAGCTACGTCATCCGGTGTTATGATGACGGGGTCCATGGGCGTAATATCCGCTATACACTGACTCGCCACAACTTCCGTCCAAGGGCCCTCGCTGTGGTTTACGGGCTCTGACCACAGGCCGCGCCAGAATGCTACAGTGTCGGCCTGATTCGGTGCTGGGCCCGTTCCACTTACTATTGGTCGCTCCAAAGATTCATAGAGCCTCTTCTGATCAATCTGGAAGAGACGATTCTGGTTGAACCGGTCGACCTTCCGAATACGCTTTCCCCAAGCAACGATTCACATGTTGCTGATCAGATCATCTATGCGCTCCGTCAGTTTTTGCGTTATATCCGGCTGGGACAAACTAACATTTGTCCCAGCAAACGCCATCCTGACGGTGCGCACAATTCTTGGCCTGGTATTGCCTGACCTGAAGCATATCAGTCTGCTACGATAGCGCTACTATGGCCAGTAGCGCGTCCAGCCGTGGAAACCTTTGGCGCCTGTAATACGGCAGACTGCCAGCGCGGCGCCAAAAAGAATTGAGTCCGTCTCGCAAAGGTCCCGGCTGGCTTCCAAATAGGTCACCAGCATTGGGTTCAGAGCCCTCACGACAGCCCGATTCCGCTTGCTTAGGGCTAAGCGGGGAAGTCGCGGGCGATTTTCGAGAGGCGTACTGCGCGTTTCCACAATCGCCTCCTCCAATGTACTCCTCATATGCTCTAATTCCAGTTCCTGGGCGACTGTTCCATCATCGTTTGAATCAACCACAACTGGGGTATTCACGGCGGCATCCACATTTGCCGGTTGCTCTGCAATTTGTGGCGCTGCATCCTCAGCCGCAGCATTTTCACCCAATGAGGGAACAGCCTCACGTAGTAGCCGTTCGAGTTCGGCGACATCAAATATATTTGAGCGCAAGATATACCGAACTCGGTCTGCCAGGTTTTGCTCGGTGACGGTTAAAGATGGCTCCAGCTCAGCAAAAAGACGATGCATCCTAGCCCGGTACGCCAAATATCCAGTTTCTTCCCCTTTCACCCTAAAGTACGCCCGCATTGAAAGAAAGAAAGAAAGAAACAAGAAAGAAACAGATTTTATTTGGCACATGCAACACACTCAAGTGGATTACATAAAACAAATAACATTTAAGTAGGCATACAAACAAAAAAAACAAAAAAAAAATTTTACATAGAAATCATGAAACAGGACATTCACTCCTTGTTTATAGATATGATAAAACAAAAAAAAACAAAAAAAAAAGCAAACAATAATATAAAAAAGAAAAAAAATAATAATAATAAAGAACTAGAGAATAAGGAGTAATGCATAGGGTGTATTACAAAGACAATCCACCCGTTAATGCTGCTCTGCTCCAAAAAGGAAAGCCACTCAGGATATGTTGGAATGTATCAGAAGTACAACACCCCAACCCTGATTTTCAGTGGCACCCTTATATATTTAAAATAAAAATACACAAATAAGTATAAAAAATATATATACATATATTATATATTCTTTATATGCAGAGGGCAGTTCTATTGTGTTAAACCAAATATAATAACAAAAATTTATTTCTTGTAATATTGTCATAATTCTTATAAAATATTCTTAATACTGTAAGAGGTTGCATTAAAATTCACTCAGGAACGTAATTAAGTTTAAGCTACAAACAAATACACAAACCAGCTGCAGTACACCGCTTCATTACATAATTTCAATAAATGATATATACATACTCAAACACACACACATATACATATATATATATGTATGTACATATATATACATAAATATAAACAAGCACACATACATACACATATACACGCTCATACATTATTTATAAAATTACATACTATCAAAATATCTGCACTACTTAACTTTGAGATTGCTGATCTAAGAGGAACAATTTAAATTTTTGACGGAAGCTATGTATCGATTGTATATTACGGAACGGCGGCGGCAAGTTGTTCCAACACTTGGTTGCTGCATATCGAAAACTGCCTCGAAACGCAGCGGTGCGGTGTTGAGGCAGAAGCAACCCGTACGCTGAAGCTCTTGTCACTACATTTGTTAAGACGTTGTCTCGAGCCCAGCGCAATTTTTCATAGAGATAAGACGGCGTCCTGTATTTTATACAACCAAACAACAGCGTAGCAAAATGCAACTGCCACCGGTAATCCATTTTGAGCATTTTCGCATTATTAATGTAAGGTGTAACATGTGTACGGGGAGGTATTTTAAAACAGAAGCGGGCACAGGCATTTTGTACGCGCTGTATAAGTTTCTTTGAACGGTTGAGAAGTCTAGGACCTATTACTGCATCTGCATAATTGAATTTGGACAGTATCAAGGACTCACATAATCTGATACGGACTTCCGTCTTTAATACATCCCTTATCTGGTATAGTACTTTTAATCTGTAAAAACAATTTTTAACGTTATTTATTATATGTTTTTCGAAGTGTAGTAGTGCCTCATCCATCAATATTCCTAAATTTCTAATCTCAGTAACTCGATCAATATTCACATTTTTAATTGAAATTAAAGGACGATTTGCCAAAACTTTATTTACTTGTTTTTTGGTACCAAGTAGCATATATTTCGTTTTATTAGGATTGAGTACTAATGTATTTGCTTCAGACCAGTCGACTATACGATTTAGGTCTTCATGTAATTTTTGTATGGCTACGGTACTCTCATTTGGCTTAAAAGAAATATACACTTGTATATCATCAGCATATATATGATAGCTACAGTTCAATATATGTTTTACGATATCAGCACTATACAGCGAAAAAAATCAAGGGACCAAGTATTGAACCCTGCGGAACACCTCTTGTAACAGCACAGCAATCAGATGCTATTTTATTGCCGTTTTCATCTATTACTTCGACAATTTGCCTACGGTCATTAAAATAGCTACGAAACCAATCTATAGTTTCCGAGCTTAATCCATAGTAGTTTAATTTAGAGAATAACAACTCCCTATTTAACGTGTCAAATGCACGGGAATAGTCTAGAAGAACTAGAATTGTAACCATACCGGAATCCCGAGCGCTTAAAACATTATCCACTACATCGGCCAAAGCTGTTGTAGTGCTATGTCGTTTCCTAAAGCCAGACTGTACACTCGGTAGAATTTCATTTTGGTCTAAATAATGAGTTAACTGATTACATACAGCTTTCTCTAGGATTTTAGACAAACAGGGTAATACGCTAACAGGTCGCAGGTCTTTAAAATTCCTAATATTATCTGTCTTAGGAATCGGCGTTATTAAAGCAGTTTGCCACTGTTTGGGAAATGTCTTAGCTCTCAGAGAACTATTCATAATTACCGTAATAACATTTAAAGAGTATGGGAGAGTGGATAACAGCATTTCCAGTGAAATTTCATCCAACCCAATGGCATTCGACTTCAGATCATGTAGAATTTTTAAAACTGTATTACTATCTATTTCCTTAAATTCAAAAGTTTTAGAGCTAAATTTATGGGTTTCGAAGTAGTTGATAGCGGATTGAGAAGCAAAATTTTGGCCTGGAACGTCAAGGAAATGTTTATTAATTTTTTTTGGGTCACACAAATTGTATGGTAGGCAAGTATTATGTTTATTTTTTATATTTATTTGACGATGTAAGTGCGTCCATAACGTTTTAGAGTTTCTAATATTACAATTAATGTACGTGTTAAAATAAGCGGTCTTTTCGTTATAAATAGCAGTCACGACCTGTTTTTTTAATTGTTTATAATAATTTACATGTGAATCTATTTTTGTTAAACGTGCCCTTGAATGTGCTCGATCACGGAGTCTCATCATTAATTTGACTGTATATGTTAACCAGGGACGATATTGTTCCTTAATATAGGCTTTTTTGATCGGAGCTAACAGATTATATATAGATAATATGGTTGAATTAAATTCAGCAACCATAACATTAACATCTTGCACATTCACGATGTTTTCCCAATTTATACCCTTTAAAACTCGATGAAATTGTTCAGCATTTATGTTTTTAATTGGTCTATAAAAAACAAGTCGCGGTGGACATTTGTGCGTAGTAAGATTGACTTCACATGATATAAACCCATGATGGCTCAAATCAGGTATGTAATCCACTTCTACTTTGTTTAGGGATACGTTAGAAAGTATTAGATCCAACAACGTTTTGCTGTTACTTGTGAAATGAGTAGGTTCGTTAACATATTGTTTAAGATTATTTATTAAAATGAATTCATCTAATATTTTAGTATTACGGTTGGATTTATCTAAGTAGTTGATGTTAAAATCGCCAAGAAGTAGTAAATAATCATACGACGAGAACGTGTTTATTGTGTCTGAAAGACCATCAATGAAATTTTGCACTTGAAGCCAAGGTGGTCGATACGCAGTGCCAATTATGACAATTTTACCATTGATTTTGGCGCTTAGCCACATTTGTTCTACAGACTGCGATATAGGGTAGGGTAGATTACGTACTGGTAAACCACGTCTTATGTAGAACCCTACACCGCCACCGCGAGAACGAACTTCTGCCGGCCTAGGAGTATGTCGCAGGTGGTAACCAGGCACACGAGGTGCCCTTCCTTCTTCACCTGCCCTGAGCCAGGTTTCACTCAAAGCCAACACGTCAACTCTCAGACGATCCATAGCTACCACGAACTCATCATGATGCGTACCTAGTGACCCGGGATTTAAAAAACCAACTTTTAGTTTCTGCGGCCTAACCATTATATAAGTGTGAGAAAAAGAACAAAAGATATCTTTGATTAAGGCTTAAATTAACTAAGTATTTATCATACAATGTAGCTACATATTGAGATATAAAATTATAAATACATAACATTATAGATATAATTAGTGCTATGCAACAATAATACAAATAATAATAATATGAGACGCAGTTAATACTAAACTTGCACAAAAATGTATATAATATACCTAGCTGTATTATATTATGTAACTTTGATGCTGGTATGAACATTTTAACAATGATAACATGAACCCGAACGTTTTTATATTGAAATAATTGATCTAAATTTGTTATTGCAGGCATATTATACAAAGAATAATATACAACTTCATTAATAATAGCAGGACAATAGGAACTATTAACAAATAAATTAAAAGCAAGAAAAATAATACTATTTTGTTCACAGTTACCTTCGTATAGGCTCAGCAAATCATTAAAGGTAAACGGTCGCTTAATTGTTAAAAAAATATCCAAATATATATAAGACATACATAAATAAACTGAACAAAATACGACAAAAACATTGCAAAGCACAGCAAAACCTATTATCCTAACTATCAAACGTAAAATAAAAACAAAATTATTATATGAAAGATAAATGCCCATAGTGACATGATTTAAAGAATGTTTTATAAAAAAAGATCAAATTCATGAAGAACCAAAAACCTTTTCAATGTCACAGTCCATACATATTTTTTGCTTACTAGACATAGAATCGCGCTTCACAAATATTACACCGTTTTTTGTCCATGCATATCGCCAGTTGCATCGCCGTGCCTCCTGTCGAGCCCTATGGAAAAGGTGCTTGTTGGCATACGTCAGGCGCTCGTTAAGATAAAAGCGTGTCGGTTCTCCATTGATATTAAAACCTGATGTATCAGCGCCCCGACGCACGCGCGCCGCCCGCAGCAGTTGGTCGCGGACAGAGCGTCGCGCTAGGCGTACGACGATGGCTCTAGGCCGCGGTGGTTCGCTATCCGAGCTCTCACGGTTTCGACGCATACCGGCACGTTCAACACTAACCACGTCACGCTCGTCCAGTTCTATATCCAATTTTTTGGCGACGAGTGTCATGAGGTGACCCGGGCTTTCTCCCTTCTGTTCAGGAATACCGGTGAGCTCTAAATCATTAGAAAGAGCCGCCTGTTCCTTTATATTCAAATCGCGCTTTAAGCGCGCAATAATATCTACCAGTTCGTTATTATTGCATGACTTGTGTCCCTCCTTCGTTTGTTGTTCCAGGGAGGTAACTCGGGTTTCAACGCTGTCCAGCCTCGAATTAAACTGTGTAATGGAGGTGTTTAGTTTCGCAATTTCTTGCCGAAAACTGACCATTTCTTCTGACAGAGTCTTTAACTCAGTTCTAAGGAGTTTAATTTCCTTAGCCAATAAACCTTCAATGGGGGATTCAACTCTTGAGTCTAGGGATGCCTCAGTACAATAGTCGGCTGGCACAGGGCTTTGTCGCGGTATTTTGCAGGTTTTACATATCCATTTTGGGCTTATCCTTGATTCGGGGCTAATATTAACACACGGCCGATGGTAAATCGACGTGCATTTTGAGCATTTAGCGCCATCTGTCTGCGAAACAAATTTACCGCAGTGCCCACACTTATTTGCCATTATTAATCGTTGTAGCTAATTGATAACGTATAAATAGTTTTGACAGTTGTCACTAGATGACAGAAATATCAACACAGATTGATTGCTCGGTTTGAATGATTAATTATTATGCTTAGTGGTATTTTTCAACATAAAATTTTATAAAGACTCTGTAATGCACTTATTAGAAGAATAATAAATAAAAACTATGCTACAATTTATATTTTAAAAGCAAATTTTAACAAAATTAATGGGGGTACACGAAAACAGCTGATTTCACAGCTGATTATCACTGCGATTTTTGAAAATTAGTCTTATCCCACTATACTTGGTTAAATACCGCGAATAACACTTGTTCCACTTATCACTGTTATGGTTTATGGAAATATACAATCACTTGTTATCAAAAACTTTTTTAACTATTTATTAGACCCATATATATAAGACCGATATTACTGCCCTCCGCGCACACCTACCGTTTTTTTCTGATTGCTTGATCTGACATTGCGTTTGTATTCATTGCTTGTGACCAACGCATGCGACGTGCTCCACCAGCGGTGGGTGCCGCTTGCTTAGTTCGAGAAGACCCAGCCGACACCAAGCCTTCTGATGGGGATGATGGATGCGGAGGGCTGCTAGGTGACCGTGCAGCTCCTCACGCTCGGCTGGCGGCCCGCATGCTGCCGCGTCCAGCGCCAGCTCCAGACGCGCCCTGGCGACCTCCAGGCAGCGGCTCTTTGCGCACTATCTTTTTATCCATCATCCATTATTTGGGCGTCCATTAACGGGAGACGCCAAGGCTCGGCACCGTATCGTGTGTGGCCATAAGCACAAACGGGCCTTTGCACCCTAAATTCTGCCGAGGCACGGCGCTCACACCTCTCGCAAGGCGCTGACTGACTGCGTTGACGTAGCAGTTTTGTCACTTAACTGTTACGTCAGCGGGCGATGGGGTCGTCAATTCCGTACGCCATTTTATTATTATTATTGGGGTATCTATATAATTTTCTCACCTGGTTGGGTTCTATAAATATATAATTATAAATTAAAATGAAAAGATAAATGTACATATATATCAATAAAATAAAATAAATACAAAAACTACATAAATAAATAAGATCCAACCAGATGGGAGCCCTCGGCAGGGGAGACCAGACGGCCGAGGGTTAGGGGGAAAGGGAAAGAAACCGGCGGACGATGCGGGCGGTATCGAGGAGCACCGCCCTCTGCATTTGAGCCCGGAGCGGTCCGTCACGGAGTCCCAGTCGCCTCAGATGACCCGAGAGGCTGACTGGGATTAGCCCATTCGCAGACACGACTACAGGAATAATTTCGGTCGGCAGACCACCCCACATGTCGGTCACCTCGTGAGCCAGGTCCAGATATTTTGTTTGTTTATCTGTTTCGGCTTTCACGAGGTTCTCGTCATACGGAATGGTAATGTCGAACAAAAATATCCTTGACTGTGCCCGGTCCATCAGCACAATATCAGGCTTATTCGCAAGAATAGTCCTGTCTGTGATGATGGCCCGGTCCCAGTAGAGCCTGGCGCGGTCATTTTCGAGCACGGCTTCCGGCAAGTACTTGTAATACGGCAATTTCCGGTCCACGAGACCGTATTTCAGAGCGAGCTCCTGGTGTAGAATTCTGGCTACTAGGTTGTGCCTGTGCAAGTACTCAGAGTTAGAAAGCGCCGAACAACCGGAGATGACATGCCTAAGTGACTCCCCGGGATGGCGACAAGCTCGGCAGACGTTGACAGTGCCATCCTTTAGGATGTATCTCCGATAGTTATTGGTTTTTATAAACCTGATCCTGTATTGCAGACAAAACCCTCGGTTTCCCCGAAGAGGTCACCGAAACGTAGCCAGTTGAAGGAGGCGGCTGTATCTACGTGAGGCTCATGTAGAGCCCTGTAGTACCTCCCGTGGAGCTCCTTCTCCTTCCATACGGTCTCCCGGTCGGAAATGCTCTGTACTGCCGGGTCTTGCCATTGCTCGTTGGCTAAGGATAGAGGGGTAAGTCCTTTATCACTAGAAATGACGTCATTATAGAATGGATCATCCGATCTCGCCAGGAAGTAATGACGGAGGCTGCACACTTCGCGATTATGCATGGTGAGCGCGCTCAGGAAGCCACGCCCACCATGCTTTCGCGGCAAGTACAGCCTCATTACCGACGATCTCGGATGATGCATCCTATGGGACGTCATTGTAGTGCGGACTTTACTATCCAGGGCGTTAAGTTCAGTTTGAGTCCACCTGAGTATGCCAAAGGTATACATGAGGACAGGCATGACCCAACCGTTAATGCATGTGTCTTATTTACACCGGACGAAAGGCTGTTAACCCCTTTAGTCAAGCGTGCATAAAACACGTCGCAAACTGACTGTTTCATACCAGCCTCATCGATACCGATGTTCTGTGACATACCCAGGTATCGGTATGTTTCAGCCTCGGAAAGGGCCCTTAAGTTGACGGGCATAGATAAGTCTATGCCCTCAGAGTTAGCAACCCTTCCCCTTTCAACATGGAGGACCGCACACTTATCCGTCCCCAGCTCCATTAAAATAGAATTGCTAAATTCACAAGTGATGTTTAGCAATTTCATAAGATGGGAGCGACTGGAGGCGAATAATTTGAGGTCATCCATATAGAAAAGGTGGGTCACTTTTGTACCTCCCTTCCGAAGCTGAAATCCCCTCCCGGAGCCCTCCAGTAAAGTACTGAGAGGGTTCAAAGAGAGGCAGAACCAGATTGGACTCAGACAGTCGCCCTGGAATATACCCCTTCTTATCATCCTTCTTATCATGTCATCCGCTCGCCCAGATGACAGAGGATCGTACTCCACTGCCTCATACACTGCTCGAGGAAGTCTCGAACTGTACAGTCAATCTTGTACAGCTCGAGGATCCTCTTTAGCCATGTATAGGGAACCGAGTCAAATGCCTTTCTGTAATCTATCCAAGCAGCGGAGAATTTCCGACGGTTGCGTTTCACCACTTTGCCAATGACCGCGTCAATGAGGAGTGGTTCCTTGGTTCCACGACCGCCGCCCCGACATCCATTTTGAGCGCGCGACATCACCTGATTTGAGTCCAGGTGACGAGCGATTCTCGCGCTCAAAATGGATGTTAGTGTCTTGTATATAGTAGGTAGATACGTGATGGGGCGGTATTTGCTCGGGTCTGTGGCACCCTGGTCTTTAGGAACCAAATGAGTGATCCCAGTAGTGAAGAGGCTTGGGAGCGACTTCTGGTTGAGAGCCTCTTGAAACTGTCGGGCGAGCACAGCGTGACACACCATGAACCCCTTCAGCCAGTAGTGATGCAGCCCGTCAAGCCCCGGACTTTTCCAGTTCGGGGCCCTACGGACCGCCTCAGCTACGTCATCCGGCGTTATGATGACGGGGTCCATGGGCGTAATACCCGCTATACACTGACTCGCCACAACTTCCGTCCAAGGGCCCTCGTTGTGGTTTACGGGCTCTGACCACAGGCTGCGCCAGAATGCGACAGTGTCGGCCTGATTCGGTGCTGGGCCCGTTCCACTTACTATTGGTCGCTCCAATGATGTAGAGCCTCTTCTGATCACTCTGAAGGAGACGATTCTGGTTGAACCGTGTCGACCTCTCGGTATATCGCCGAATCCGCTTTCCCCAAGCAGCGATTTTGCAGTCAGGCAGCAAAGAATCACGTCGAAAACCTGACGCAGCGCATAGACATGCGCTCCGTCAGTTTTTGCGTTATATCCGGCTGGGACAAACTAACATTTGTCCCAGCAAGCGCCATCCTGACGGTGCGCACAATCCTTGGTCTGGTATTGCCTGACCTGAAGCGTATCAGTCTGCCGATGAGGGCCCTAGCCCTTGCGATACGTTCTTCAATTCTTATTCTCCAGGCTGGGATAGCACTACTTTGTCCAGTAGCGCGTCCAGCCGTGGAAAGTTTGGCGCCTATAATACGGCAGACTGCCAGTGCGGCGCCAAAAAGAATTGAGTCCGTCTCGCAAAGGTCCCGGCTGGCTTCCAAGTAAGTAACCAGCATTGGGTTCAGAGCCCTCACGACAGCCCGATTCCGCTTGCTTAGGGCTAAGCGGGGAAGTCGCGGGCGATTTTCGAGAGGCGTACTGCGCGTTTCCACAATCGCCTCCTCCAATGTACTCCTCATTTGCTCCAGTTCCAGTTCCTGGGTGACTGTTCCGTCATCGTTTTAATCAACCACAACTGGCGTATTCACGGCGGCATCCACATTTGCCGTTTGCTCAGCAAGTTGTGGCGCCGCATCCTCAGCCGCAGCATTTTCACCCGATGAAGGAACAGCCTCACGTCGTAGCCGTTCGAGTTCGGTGACATCAAATGTATTTGAGCGCAAGATATACCGAACTCGGTCTGCCAGGTTTTGCTCGGTGACGGTTACAGATGGCTCCAGCTCAGCAAAAAGTCGATGCATCCCTGCCCGATACGCAAAACCTCCAGTTTCTCCCCCTTTCACCCTAAAATACGCCCGCAATGCGTTGCTGTTCAGCTGGGTTGTCCAACGCATGCGGCGTACTCCACCAGTGGCGGGTGCTGATTGCTGGGCCCGCGAAGACCCTGCCGACACCAAACCAGCTGGTGGGGATGATGGATGCGAGGGGCTGCTGGGTGGTCGTTCAGCACCTCGCGCTCGGCTGGCGGTTCGCATGCTGTCGCGTCCAGCGCCAGCTCCAGACGCGCCCTGGCGACCTCCAGGCAGCGGCCCTTTGCGCGTTCTTCCGTATTCCATCATCCATAGTGGTGGGCGTCATTTAGCGGGAGACGCCCAGACCCGGCGCCGTTTCATGGTGAGGCCATGTGCACAAGCGGGCCTTTGCACCTTCAATTTTTGCCGAGGCACGGCACTAACACCTCTCGGCAAAGTGCTGACTGACTGCGCTGACGTACCGGTTTTGTCACATAACCGTTTCGTCAGCGGGCGATGGGGTCGTCACTTCCCTACGCCTATATTATTATTATTATGTGGGGTATCTATATATTTTTCTCATCTGGTTGGGATGTATAAATATATAATTATAAATGAAAATGAAAAGATAAATATACATAAATGTCAATAAAATAAAATAAATACAAAAATACATAAATAAATAAAAGCCCAACCAGATGGAAGCCCTCGGCAGGGGAGACCAAACGGCCAAGGGTTAGGGGGAAAGGGAAAGAAACCGGCGGACGATGCGGGCAGTATCAAGGAGCACCGCCTTCTGCATTTGAGCCCGGAGCGGTCCGTCACGGAGTCCCAGTCGCCTCAGATGATCAGAGAGGCTAACTGGGATTAGCCCATTCGCAGAGACGACTACAGGAATAATTTCGGTCGGCATACCACCCCACATGTCAGTCACCTCGTGAGCCAGGTCCAGATACTTTGATTGCTTATCATTATTATTATTATTGGGGTATCTATATAATGTTCTCACCTGGTTGGGTTCTATAAATATATAATTATAAATTAAAATGAAAAGATAAATGTACATATATGTCAATAAAATAAAATAAATACAAAAACTACATAAATAAATAAGATCCAACCAGATGGGAGCCCTCGGCAGGGGGAGACCAGAGGCCGAGGGTTAGGGGGAAAGGGAAAGAAACCGGCGGACGATGCGGGCGGTATCGAGGAGCACCGCCTTCTGCATTTGAGCCCGGAGCGGTCCGTCACGGAGTCCCAGTCGCCTCAGATGACCCGAGAGGCTGACTGGGATTAGCCCATTCGCAGAGACGACTACAGGAATAATTTCGGTCGACACACCACCCCACATGTCGGTCACCTCGTGAGACAGGTCCAGATATTTTGTTTGTTTATCTGTTTCGGCTTTCACGAGGGTCTCGTCATACGGAATGGTAATGTCGAACAAAAATATCCTTGACTGTGCCCGGTCCATCAGCACAATATCAGGCTTATTCGCAAGAATAGTCCTTTCCATGATGATGGCCCGGTCCCAGTAGAGCCTGGCGCGGTCATTTTCGAGCACGGCTTCCGGCAAGTACTTGTAATACGGCAATTTCCGGTCCACGAGACCGTATTTCAGAGCGAGCTCCTGGTGTAGAATTCTGGCTACTAGGTTGTGCCTGTGCAAGTACTCAGAGTTAGAAAGCGCCGAACAACCGGAGATGACATGCCTAAGTGACTCCCCGCGATGGCGACAAGCTCGGCAGACGTCGACAGTGCCATCCTTTAGGATGTATCTCCGATAGTTGTTGGTCTTAATAACCTGGTCCTTTATTGCACAGACAAAACCCTCGGTTTCCCCGAAGAGGTCACCGAAACGTAGCCAGTTGAGGGAGGCGGCTGTATCTACGCGAGGCTCATGTAGAGCCCTGTAGTACCTCCCGTGGAGCTCCTTCTCCTTCCATACGGTCTCCCGGTCGGAAATGCTCTGTACTGCCGGGTCTTGCCATTGCTCGTTGGCTAAGGATAGAGGGGTAAGTCCTTTATCAATAGAAATGACGTCATTATAGAATGGATCATCCGATCTCGCCAGGAAGTAATGACGGAGGCTGCACACTTCGCGATTATGCATGGTGAGCGCGCTCAGGAAGCCACGCCCACCATGCTTTCGCGGCAAGTATAGCCTCATTACCGACGATCTCGGATGATGCATCCTATGGGACGTCATTGCAGTGCGGACTTCTCTATCCAGGGCGTTAAGTTCAGTCTGACTCCTCCTGAGTATGCCAAAGGTATACATGAGTTATTATTATTATTGTGGAATATCTATATAGTTTTCTCATCTGGTTGGGATGTATAAATATATAATTATAAACGAAAATGAAAAGATAAATATACATAAATATCAATAAAATAAAATAAATACAAATATACATAAATAAATAAAAGCCCAACCAGATGGAAGCCCTCGGCAGGGGAGACCAAACGGCCAAAGGTTAGGGGGAAAGGGAAAGAAACCGGCGGACGATGCGGGCAGTATCAAGGAGCACCGCCTTCTGCATTTGAGCCCGGAGCGGTCCGTCACGGAGTCCCAGTCGCCTAAGACGACCAGAGAGGCTAACTGGGATTCGCCCATTCGCAGAGACGACTACAGGAATAATTTCGGCCGGCAGACCACCCCACATGTCGGTCACCTCGTGAGCCAGGTCCAGATATTTTGATTGCTTGTCTGTTTCGGCTCTCACGAGGTTCTCGTCATACGGGATGGTAATATCGACCAAAAATATCCTTGACTGTGGCCGGTCCATCAGCACAATATCAGGCTTATTCGCAAGAATAGTCCTGTCTGTGATGATGGCCCGATCCCAGTAGAGCCTGGCGCGGTCATTTTCGAGCACGGCTTCCGGCAAGTACTTGTAATACGGCAATTTCCGGTCCACGAGACCGTATTTCAGAGCGAGCTCCTGGTGTAGAATTCTGGCTACTAGGTTGTGCCTGTGCAAGTACTCAGAGTTAGAAAGCGCCGAACAACCGGAGATGACATGCCTAAGTGACTCACCGGGATGGCGACAAGCTCGACAGACTTCGACGGTGCCATCCTTTAGGATGTATCTCCGATAGTTGTTGGTCTTAATAACCTGATCCTGTATTGCACAGACAAAACCCTCGGTTTTCCCGAAGATGTCACCGAAACGTAGCCAGTTGAGGGAGGCGACTGTATCTACGAAGGGCTCATGTAGAGCCTTGTAGTACCTCCCGTGGAGCTCCTTCTCCTTCCATACGGTCTCCCGGTCGGAAATGCTAAGCACTGCTGGGTCTTGCCATTGCTCGTTGGCTAAGGATAGAGGGGTAAACCCTTTATCACTAGAAGTGACGTTATTATAGAATGGATCATCCGATCTCGCCAAGAAGTATTGACGGAGAGCGCGCTCAGAAAGCCACGCCCACCATACTTTCGCGGCAAGTACAGCCTCATTAGCGACGATCTCGGATGATGCATCCTATGGGACGTCATGGTAGTGCGGACTTTTCTATCCAGGGCGTTAAGCTCAGTCTGAGTCCACCTGAGTATGCCAAAGGTATACATGAGGACAGGCATGACCCAGCAGTTATATGCGTGTGACTTATTTACACCGGACAAAAGGCATTATTATTATTATTATTATTATTTACAAATAAAGTGTGGCCATCTATCCTGGATGATTAAGAGAGATGGACATACATGGTCCGTATGAGATGACCATACATAAGTAATGTGTAATATTAAAAGTTGTATAATAATAAGTTGGAATTATTCTTTATTCATGGTGATTTATGCTAATTATACATACATAACATACATAAACACTCACGCCTGTCACCCAGAGGGGTAGGCAGAGACTACGGACTTCCATTTGGCCCGATCCTGACATACCTCTTTCGCCTCCTTTACATCCATATATCTACGCATACATGCTCGTCGGTTAAGGGTACTTCTAACGTGGCCCATTTTCAAAATATCGCCAATTTGGTCGACAAACTTTTTTCTAGGGCGTCCCTTCCCGACTCGGCCGTTCACATCTGCCATATAAATTTGCTTTGTCACTCGTTCATCATTCATTCTTTCTACGTGACCAAACCACCGAAGCATTCCTTTCTTAATCCTGGTCACAACATCATCTTGCATACCACATTTATCTCTTATCACGCAATTTCTCACCCTGTCATTCAGATTAAACCCTAGCATATTTCTTAAAGAACGCATTTCTACAGCATTTATTCTACTTTCGTGCTTCTTCTGCCACACCCAGCTTTCACTACCATACATTAACGTAGGGACTAACACAGCATTATGAATTACCATACGTGCCTGTTTTGACACATTCTGGTTCTTCATAATAGAGTGTAGTGCCCCATTCACTCTATTCCCTGCATTTACTCGTCGTTCTATATCCCTATCATATCTACCATCCCTGCTAAATACACATCCCAAATACACAAACTCATCCACTTGCTCAATTAACTCTCCTTCTATTCTTATTTCACATACCGTTTTGCTTTCTTCTCTTTCAAAAACCATCACTTTCGTCTTACTTGCGTTCACTTTCATTCCCCTTTCTTTTAATTCCCAGTTCATTAATGTAACCATCATTTGCAACTCAGCCGCTGATGACGCAAATATGACTTGATCATCGGCATACAAAAGGCATTTGACGGTTAACTCGCCCATTCTTAAACCACATTCTTCATCTTTCAAAGTTTGCAAA